TGCCAGCAGCACCTGGATGCCCACTCTCCTAGTGCCAGGGTGCCAGTCACCCATTGCCAGCAGCACCTGGATGCCCACTCTCCTAGTGCCAGTCACCCATTGCCAGCAGCACCTGGACGCCCGCTCTCCTCCTGCCCGGTCTGTGAGCTCGCGCCCTGGACTGCACAGCAGCACAGGATTCTCTTGGTTTCCCTGTGAGGTGTCGTGATGCTGCCAACCTCTAGGCTCTGCGTCCTTAGCGTCGTTCTGTGCTTTACTATTTGTTCGTGGCTTGCCTCCCACGCAGCACGGCAACGTGTGTGTGACTGTGACGAGCACAGGCTATGGCGCTGGAGGAGCTTGGGTTTAAATCCCGGGCTGTGGCCTGCCAATCATGCGACTTCCAACAACGAGTACCGGCTCTTATCAGGTGAGCGCTTTCCTTATGCTACAGTGGAGACAACACTACACTGTGCTTTTGAGAGAAGCTTTTGAGAGGATTACGTGTGTTAAGATACGCCGAGTCCTTCCTAAATGTCAGCCATGATTATTCTTACTTTCCCACAGCTACCTAACAACTTTATTTTTAAATCATTCTATTGGGAGCTCGTACAACTCTTATCACAATCCATCCATCCATCCATTGTGTCAAGCACATTTATACACTTGTTTCCCTCATCATTCTCAAAACATCTTCTTTCTACTTGAGTCCTTGGTATCAGCTCATATTTTCCCTGTTCCCCCTTCCTCATGAACCCTTGCTAATTTATAAATTATTATTATTTTGTCATGTCTTACACTGCCCGACGTCTCTCTTCACCCACTTTTCTGTTGTCCATCCCCCAGGAAGGAGGTTATATGTAGATCCTTGTAATTGGTTCCCCCTTTCCACCCCACCTTTCCTCCACCTTCCCTAACTTGAATGATTCTCCCACACCACTTTCCTCTCCCACAAGAAAGCCAGCCTCCAGTGCATCAAACTCACTCCGCCCCCCATCTCCTGCATCTCCCCACAATGGTGCTTTGAAGAAAGAACAGAATTACCAGAGAGGCGGGGACGGTACTGCCTGAGGCATTTTCTTCCATCCTTCTGCTATTGATGAATAAACTGGAGATTTCTAAGAGTTCATTGTGGAGGTTCCGCAGCTGAAGGTGCCGATAACCTAGAACGCAGCAGCATTGGGAACGAGCGTGTTAACAGTGCACGGCAGAGCTCTGGACACCCCAGGAGCCCGCCAAACGGACAGATCGAAATCAGAACACATGAGGATGGGTAAGGGCGGGTACAGCTAAGTCACCAGGGGGCACTGTTTCAATGGCAGCGTCTGCAGGTTCTTTTGGGCCACGCAGGGGTGATGGATGACCTTACCAGGTACTGTCTCTAAGAGTAACATGGAAAATAACTGTAGGACAACGGGGTTGCTTTTGGAGCAAAGCATCCCCCCCCTCTTTGCTCTGAGGTGCAGCAGCCAGTTAATGTGCTTGGTGCTCACTGAAAGGTTAGAGGCTTGAAGCCACATAGCAGCTCCTCGGAAGAAAGGGCTGGCGATCTACTGTGAAAAACCAGTCTCTGAAGAGCCCCCCAGAGCCCAGCTCTCCTTGGAAATACCTGGGGATACAGCGTCAGCAATGCAATGGGCACTAGTCTGGTGTAAAGGCAGTCATGTCGATGTAGGCTGCCAACATGGGACGCTGCTCATGGTAGACCTCCCCAAGTGAAAACCACCAAGCTGCAGAACCACCAAGTGCAGGAAGCCTGCTTGGTAAGAAGGCCACGGTATGTTCGTGCATACCGACACCTGGGCAGAAGGCAAAAGCCTGCAAAAAGGCATACGCCCAGCGTGATTCTTGGTGAGAAATGAGGAAAATGAATACTACTAAAAAACACTTAAACATTTTTTTTCTTGTCTGTACTTTCTTACATGTCTGTCATGACCACGGCGACTTCCACGATGAACGTGAGAAAAAAAAACCAAACCAGCTGTTGGAACCTGTAAGGTGCTCGGGAAGCTCGGGGGACGGCAGCTTGCCTGTGGACGAGGGAGGAGGTGTGTGTTGCAACAGCAACAGGTCAGCATCCCCTAAGAGCTTGTCAGAACCGTGGAACCGAGCCACCTCGCCACGATGACCAAGAGCATCAGACTCCTCAGAGGCTTGTAAACGTGGGCATAGCAACGCACAGACACTCTCAACAAACACTATAAACTCAACTTTACACAGAGGACCGCCTCCCGGTCAAGCCAAGCACGAGCTGAGAACCCTGGAGCCCACGTGAGCATTTCTGATGTCACTCCGGCCTCCGTCTTCCCCTGCTCCACACCTCAAACCCGCTCCGCTTCCAAGACTGGGCTCCTGCTGTCCACCGATTCCACCCTTGGCTCCCTCAGACCACGGCTGCTGTTCGCTGCCCTTGAGTTGGCCTTGGATTTCACGGTGACCCATGAACAGATGGTGGCCCCCGGGGGTTTCACTGGAAACAGATCCTCAGGCCTTTCTCCCAAGTTCACCCTCCTCGGGAAGCTTCACTGCAACCCGACCGGCATCACTGCAATCCGCAAACCTCCACTCACAGAGGGCGGTGGGTGTACTCGCCAGGAATCGAACCCAGGTCTCCCACGCGGAAGGAGGGAATTCTATCACTGAATTAACGCTCCCCTGGAGCTACTGCCACAAACCACCTCACCCTTGCTGGGTTTCCCCTCACTTCAACTTCTGCTTTTGCAGTGCTGGGGCCAGGGGTGCTACCTGGGAAGGGATGTGGAGAGATTTGAACACCACCACCGCAGTGTCCAGCATCAGCTGAACCCTGGGCTCGCGGCCACCCTGTGAGGCAGGGCAGCACTGCCCACGGGGTTTCCAAGGCGCAGACTGCCTCGTCCTTCTCTTGCAGATCGGTGGGTGGGTTGACCTGCCGACCTTTCTGGTTAATGGCCGAGCACTTAACCACGGCGCCACGGGGGATCCTCCACATTTTATGGGGGAACAGGTCAATAGTCCAGATTTTAAACACTTGTCCAGGAGAAACTTCTTTTGAGCAGTATTTAAGTGTTTGAAGCCAAGCGATTTCCTTCTGCTTCTTAATTCGAACGTATCAGTAGGGACAAGGCCACACTGAACACACAGCCAGACCCTGGGCCCCCATCGCCCTGCTGCGACCCTCATCCCCGTCCGGGAAGCAGTCGGCTACCTCGTTTTAAAGCCCTGAGCGGGATGATTCTCTGAGCGGTGACGGCTGAGCTGCTGTTCTCCACCACGGCAAAGCGAAGGAAGACCAGGTCTTCGAAGTGGACCCGGAGGAGAAACTGCTCGTTCCACATAGGGTTCAGCGTGTTCCGGTGGATGGGCTTGGTGCGGAAGTGGCAGCTGTCCAGGGGCATGCCCAGGACGTCAACTTCAATACACGGGCTGCCCGTGCTGTTGCTAGGACACACGTTTTGACCCGAGACAATCTATGGCAAAAGAAAAGGATCCAAGTCACTCAAGATGGAAAGGCAAAAGCAAACCCCCAAACCCCACAAGGGCAACCTCCCCACCTCACCCCTTCCCTGTACACAGGCAGGGCCCTTTGGCATGTCCAAGGTAAATAATTAATGAAGGTATTTTTTAAAAAGTAAAAGATTGCAATCGGGCTATCACATGACTGTTCTCATGTGAAAAGCCTGTTGTGTCAACAGCATTCACCCAGCTAGAACCTTTCAACCTCCACAAAGTACATCTTGAAGAACAACCACCAAGAATCAAGTAATCCAGCCCCTGAGGTCACCTTCTAACTAAACAGCAAGTTAGCTCAAAAAGTCAAGAAAGGCACCCTTGAATTCTGGGTGAGATGAGACCAAATGGATGACAGTTACTTCCCAAAGCAGAGATGCGAAGTTTTGTCGGAGGGTGGAGGGGGTGGTGGTGGTGGTGGTGG